GGATTCGTGTTGTGTCTTGAATTGGTTTTGTTGTTTTGATTTTAAAAATATTTAAGAGGAATATTTATTCCTTTTATATATTTTGGATTTGCTTTTAAAAAAAATATTTAAAAGAAAATTTAATTCCTTTTAGGTATTTTAACGTTTTTTTTATAAATAGGTTTTTTGTTACTTCATAATGCCTCGCAAACGTAAGTCCAGCCTTTCAAGAGTATCTTCTCAAAGTCAAGCGAAAAGATTAGCTGAGTAGAATCTTTAAAAGATGCTGAACTGAGAAGACAAGAACAAGCAGAGCGTCAGGCTGCTTTTAGAGCTTTCGAAACACCTCCTCAAAGTCAGGAAAAACGTCTCGAACATGCAGAGCGTCAAGCTACTTTAAGAGCTACTGAAACACCTGCTCAAAGTCACCAAAGGCGTCTTGAACAGGCAGAGCGTCAAGCTACTTTGAGAGCTACTGAAACACCATATCAACGTCAGCAAAGGCGTCTTGAACAGGCAGAGCGTCAATCTACTTTAAGAGCTACTGAAACACCTGCTCAAAGTCAGCAAAGGCTATTCGAACAAGCGGAATGTCAGGCCGCCTTAAGAGCCGCGGAAACACCTGATGAAACTCAACACAGACTCATTGAGCAAGCTGAACGTCAATCTACTATAAGGACATCTGAAACACCAGAACAGACACAGGCGCGAAGAGATGCAAATGCACAGCTCCAAGCTGAACGTCGACAAAATTTTCAAAGAAACAAATGGTCGGTTTTTAATGACGCAGCATTCAATTATGATCCGTGATTGATTATATCACACTTGTTATGGATTTTAGGCTTAATGGAAAGATAAGACCGTAGGATTGCTGTTCAATAGCAAAGTTCTCTTCCGTTACTTGGGGAACCAGAAAACTCTCTTTTTATATGATGCTAATGAGTCACGGCGGTTTTTAAACAGGATCCGAAAATATAACTCATGCTTTCAAATGACGTCCTTCGGAGTTGACCGGGAAATAATAATGCCGGGATTTTCGCCTACATTTACGGTGCAAGGGCAAATTTATCATAGAATAGGTTCACTTTTTCATTATATTACTTTTTCATTTAGCATACATTTTTACAAGTATATTTTATGGGTGACGAAGAAATTGAGGTAGACCGTCGCTGCCAATTTATCCAGAGAGTTGAGAGAGACACAGTGTTCAAAATTCAAAGATTCTTGCATGAACGTAACATTTAAAAGTCAAATCATTTAAAACTGCTTTAGAAAACCTACCTAAAGAGGATTATAAAGTCGTCATTCACGCAGATCGAACCCCTCGAGGAGAGCATGAAAGGCGCTACAATGCACCTTTGATAAACGAAATAGCAGCCGTAATTAGTGGTGATCAATTTTCTTCACGAGACATTGTCTTGCGAGCACGTGATGATACGTTGCAACGGGTAGCCGATACACACGAGTTTTGTGAAGCTCTGTAATACCCATTGATTTATTGCAAAATACAAGAGGGTTATCATTTTCAAATTCCACTCATTGACCCGGTCACAAATGAGCCTACTCCGAACAAAAAGTATCATGTATGGATTTTTATGCGTATCATATGATGTTGCGAGAAAATGATTTTAACCTCTTAGCCCGGTGTAGACAATTATTTCATCAATTTTTGGTAGACATGTATGTGAAGGTAGAAAGTGAACGTCTCCGTTATATATCTTTAAATCAAAAAAAAGCTGCGCGTTGAGAATTATATACATTTACAAAATGCAGTTTCTAGCGACGCCAATGTAAACCCCAGAGATTTAGGTAAAATGGTAATTCTGCCCTCATCATTCGTTAACAGTCCCCGCTATCTACATGAGTACACACAAGACGCATTCGCCTATGTACGAACTTACGGAAGACCTGATATTTTTGTTACTTTTACTTGCAATCCCACATGGAAAGAAATAACCGAGGAGCTAATGCCGGGCCAAAAAACTACTGACAGACACGATTTAGTTGCTAGAGTATTTAGATTAAAAGTACAAAAATTAATGTATGTAATTAACAAAGGGAAAATTTTCGGAGAGCTGCAGTGCTTCATGTATTCAATTGAATGGCAAAAAAAGAGGATTACCGCATGCCCACATTCTAATATGGCTTAAAGAGAAGTTGCGGCCCAGCCAAATAGACGACATAATAAGCGGCGAGATTCCGGATCCTGAGCAAGATAAAGAATTGTATGATACCATTGTCCGAAATATGATTCACGGTCCATGTGGAGCACGAAATTCAATATCGCCATGTATGAAAGAAGGAAAATGTACAAAGAAATTCCCTAAACAGCTATTAAAAGAAACAGTGCACAATGACAATGGCTACCCTTTATACAGACGCAGAGCTCCCGAAGATGGTGGCAGGAAAGTTACAATCAAATCTCGCTCTGGAGCGTTCGAAACCTTAGATAACAGCTGGATTGTCCCGTATTCGCCCATTCTATGTAAAATATTTAATGCCCACATTAATGTAGAAGCATGTAGCTCTGTCCGCGCAATGAAGTATATCTGTAAGTACTAGATAAAGGAAGCGACCAAGCAATATTTAATCTCAGGAGTGAGGTGAGGCAAATCCCGTTAATGAAGTACAGACCTTTCAAGCAGGGCGTTATGTCAGCAGTAACGAGGCAGCGTGGCGTCTCCTTGGCTTCCCTTTACACGAAAGGCACCCAACAGTTACTCACCTTGCTGTGCACTTAAAAAATGGAGAGCGTGTATATTTCACCGAAAGAAATTTCCAAGAAAGAATTGCATCACCGCCAAAAACTACACTAATAGCCTTCTTTCAACTTTGTCAAACCGACCCCTTTGCAAAAACGTTGTTATATTCTGAAGTCCCCCGCTATTATACTTGGAACACATTTAGGAAGGAGTGGAAACGCCGTATTCAAGGCGCGCCTGTTGCAAATTGGCCCGGTGTAAAGTCATCAGATGCCCTTGGTCGTGAGTATACCGTCCATGTAACTAATTTTGAATGTTTCTGTTTACGATTGCTGCTGCACCATGTTCGGGGTCCTACATGATATAAAGACCTTAAAACTGTCAACGGTCAGGAATGCGCAACTTTTAGAGAAGCATGTGAAGCACTGCATCTTTTAGAAAACGATAATCACTGGGATGAAACCATGGAGGAAGCTGTGCAGTGCCAGTCACCAGCCAAAATTAGGGATCTTTATGCAACTCTCATATCATCTTGTGGGCTATCTAACGCACGTGAATTGTGGGACAAATATAAAGAGTACATGGCGGAAGATATTTTGCGAAGGTTATAGTAGACACACGCGAACATGACATACAATGAACACATTTATAATGAAGCATTTGGAAAAATTGAAGATAAAGTAATGGCAATGGTAGGCAAAAAATTAAGCGACTTTGGAATGATAAGCCCTCAGCGAACAACCGAAAATGAATAAGTGATGAAATTATAGTGAAAAAAATGCTTTAAAGTAGGAATTTGTACCCCGCTTGCTTCCCGAACAAAAACGAGTTTTTGACAAAGTATTAGGACAAATTGAATCTGGAAATGGTGCACTTTTCTTTTTAGATGCCCCTGGAGGAACTGGGAAGACATTTTTGTTAAATTTATTATTAGCGCAAGTACGGAAAGATAAAAACATTGCTGTGGCCGTAGCTTCCTCCGGTATAGCCACCACGCTGATAAGCGGGGGCAGCACTCCACATTTTGTTTTAAAACTCCCTCTAAATCTAGCCCAGGAAGAATCGCCGAGCTACAACTTTAGCAAAAATAGTCCACGAGGTATAATGCTACGACAATGCAAACTTTTAGTGTGGGACGAAAATACAATATCGCATAAAAAAACTGTAGAAGCACTAAATCGAACGCTCCAGGGTTTGCGCAGCAATACCGATGTAATGGGAGGAATGGTGGTTTTACTGGCTGGTGACTTTCGCCAAACTTTACCTGTCATTCAAAAGGGCACCCGTATTTTATGGAACAAGGTGACAAAATTCAGTTTAACTACGAATATGAGAGTGCATTTGTATAATGATATCAATGCTGGAAACTATGCTAACCCACTATTAAAAATTGGCGATGGGCGGTTAGAAACGGATGCTGAGGGCTGCGTTAAATTGACGAGAGATTTTTGTAATTTAGTACACAGTCATTCCGAATTAATTGCGAGCATTTATTCAGATTTAACGAACAACATGCATGAAGACAAATGGTTATGTGAAAGGGCAATTCTTGCACCAAAAAATGAGAGCGTTAAAAAAATAAATTCAGATATATTAAGCGAAGTAGCAGGAGAAATAACAGAGTATTTGTCAGTAGACACAGTTATGGACACAGAACAGAGCACTTCATATCCCGTAGAGTTTCTAAATTATCTAGAGTTGTCAGGTGTGCCCTCACATAAGCTTCAATTAAAATTAGGCATCCCAGTCATGCCAATGCGAAATTTAGATGCTCCCCGGTTATGTAGACAGGCTGCGTGTGACACATCTTGGACGGAACATAATCGTTGCTTCAATTTTGACAGGCGTAGGAAAAGGTGAGAATGTTATTATACCACGGATCCCTATAATTCCCACAGATCTTCCTTTTCAATTCAAAAGGTTGCAGTTCCCTACCAAGCTCAGTTTTGCAATGACAATTAATAAAGCGCAAGGGCAAACGTTACAGGTAGCGGGGGTCAACTTAGAAAAACCGTGCTTCTCTCATGGTCAGCTGTATGTAGCATGTTCGCGTGTGTCAAATGTCCAGAAGTGTGAATGTGAGTGACAATGCGGGCGAAGCCGCGGGTAACAGCTAGTATTATTATAAACTTAAAGGTATAAATAGTACACACTATTAATAATTTTCGTTACAGTATTGGATGTAGCTGATTTACAAAGTCATCAATTATTTTGTGCATTTTTTGTACATTGGTTTACAGTATGAAACTTTCGGTCTCTGTTTATAATTGAGTATTTTTGTTTTTACTTTAAGATCTTACTGAAAATGACATTCTTCAGAGTCTCATTGACTCAGAATACGAGTCAATCTTGGAAGAGGAAACTTTTGAAGATGTTGGGACGAATGATAAGTACAGGCCTAATAATGAACCAGAGGAATCGTCCAGCTCTTCAAGTTCCTCCTGTAAAGATAAAGTTCCAGTTGATGAAGATGACAATGAGGTAGCAGAATACGTCGTTCACGTGGGTCACTTAGTTGTATTCGGGGAAGAAATATTAGCTCTCGCGGAAGAAGCGGTCGCGGAAGTAGAAGCCGAGGATGCGGTCGGGTAAGACAGGAAAATAACTGCCGCTGGGTTTGTTCTTGGTGAAAGTGCGGTAATATTAGTTCCTGGACATATTCTTTATTTCAACCGTTACCTTACTTCTCTTAAATTATTTCAAGAATGAAGCACAAGAGGCTTTAGATGCTCAGGTACTATAATGAAAAGCCGGATCTTGCTCTGAAAGAGGTTTTGCCAGATGCAAGTAAAAACTACCGCCAAATGTAGTACCTGTCTAGTAGCTCTTTTGCTAACTTCGACTCATAATTGTTACAAAGCATTTCATGAGTAGTATTACAAATTTTTGTTAAATATAACTCACTAATGTTAAGATTTTTTGTTATAAGTAAAATATTTTGTTATTGAAGAGTCTATCGAGAAGAGAGTGTTATTGAAGAGAGAGAGAGAGAGAGTTGCCTGAAGAGTATGAGTTTTTCCAAAGATGATTAAATATTGTTTTGATATTTTTTATAATTTTATTAATAAATCTTAAAATTCATAATTATCATTTCTTATTTTCTGGAGAAAATATTGAACATTGGGTCAAAACTCTATGTTTAGTGTTTTGTACAAAAGTTAGAACGACGTACGTTAACCAAAAATGTCCCTTAAACACCTAGTATTACGGTAAATATCATAGAATACTATAATACACAATAGAATGGCTGTCAACGTTATTTTGTACGAGATTCGGTGTCGCCGGGAGCACACATACAAGCAATTACGTCGTATTATCACTACTACAAACCCGATTCGTTATGTTGACAGACAGATTTTATTATACATATTTATTTGTAAATAGCGTGCAATTTGGCATTTTCTAAATAATTTGCATGCGAAATTTGGATACGTGTGAATTGACGTATTAGTGACATTTTAGTGGCTACATGGATTCCGCCCACTCCCCCGTTCTATTATTTATGTAATTATAGTAATCTATGGTAAATATACTCTCGCAATCCTAATAGGCTTAGTTTCAAATTTATGAATTTTTATGTCTCTGGGTCTGACAGCAATAAATTAATTTGTCCATAATTTTGTTGTAAATTAATTTGTCCATAATTGTAATTTTGTTGCATTTAACACATAACAAAGTATTAGCGGAGGAAAAAAAAGGATGCAGACAGAATCACAGAGAATGCAAAGAACAACTCATTATCGACTCGACAGTAATAAAATACGCTACCTCTCACAACCGTAATCTAAACCTATATTGATTATAAAAAAGCATTCGACAGTGTACCACTCACACTACTGTATACACTCTTGACTGATACGATAAAATCAACCCGGACATTACTTCTTTCTTGGAGAGAGTTATGGGCAATTGGAAAACTAAACTACACCTTAATGACGGCAATAAGACTATGGTCACAGTGGATATACCAACCGCTAATGGCATTTTCCAGAGAGATTCATTGAGTCCACTGTGGTTTTGTCTGGCTTTTAACCCTTTACTCTCCTCCTCTTTACTCTACAAAAACAATCATGGATATAAATTAACTAATTAAAAGCGACTTAATTCTAGAAATTTATTCAAAGCTATTAACACATTTCCCATCAAAATACTTACCTATTCTTTCGTAGTAATTAAATGGTCAGCCACAGATATACAAAATCTTAAAATCAAAACTAGGACTACCATAACTAAACACAAATATTTGTATCTCAAATCGGCAATTGAACGACTTACGATAAAGAGAACGAGGGGTAGGAGTCTGATCGATCTTAAAAGGTTATCGGAAGGGCAAATCAAAAACCTGCAGTCTTTCTTTTATGAAAAATCAGCTAATAGTCTGTTACATCAAGCAGTCAATGAGTCCGAAACCGATAACAATTATACCTCTCTAAATTTAAGTAATCAAGGTAATAGATCTACTAAAGTAATTGGTCATGAAAAAGAAAAACTATCAAAGTGGCGTAACATGCACACGATTTAGAACAACCTCACATAGACTTGCTGGCTTCAAATAAATGGTTAAAACTAGGTTCTCTTTTCCCCGAAACCGAAGGTTTTCTTATTGCTATTCAGGATCAAGTAATCAATACAAGAAACTATAAAAAATATATATTAAAAGACCCAAACATGCAGACCGATAGCTGTAGAAAATGCCACCGCCAACACAAAACTATACAACATATTACCAGTGCTAACATTTACCAGTGATTACACCCACTGTCATAACCAGGTTGCTAATTACGTTCATCAAAAGCTTGCAAATAAATACAATTTAATCCCGAACCCAAAACTACTGCCGTACTATCAGTATACCCCTAAACCTGTTCTGGCGACAGTCACAGAATGTACTTTGATAGAGCTATTCTTACCGGTAAAACAATTCACTACAATAGACCGGATATAACTTTAATCGATAAATTAAATAAAACAGTATACCTAATTGATATAGCGATCCCAAATGCCCATAATCTACAAAAAAACATTACGGCAAAAAATCGTAAATACACAGAATTAAAAGAAGAAGTAACTAGAATCTGGAAAATTAACAGAGTATATATTGTACCCCTCTCAGAAATGAGGGGAGGCCTGTGCCCAGCAGTGGGACGTATATAGGCTGTAACTTTACTTTTTTACTTTTATATATTGTACAGCTGGTGCTCTTCAGTACTGATGTGATCCCGAAATGTTTGTCCCACTTCCTTAAACGATTAGATCTTCCTGGAAATAGTTATATTACCATGCAAAAGCAGCCATCCTCAACACATGCCGTATAGTCCGAAAATTTTTGCAAGAAGACACCTCGGATTTTGATTTCCAAATGGATGCGCACTTGGCATAGGCCCATGAATATCTCTTAAAACCATTCACTTTGGTGGTAGCATTATCAATATATAGTTCATCACTATTAATGCCGTTTTAATGAATACCCCGGAACTACAACATGATACCAGCATAACACTATAAATTGGTGACCCACGACGTTCGATCAAGGATTTTGGATAAATTCCTTTTCCTACGCGACGAACCTGACTGCAGATGCTATAGGCTACTCAAGAAGATCCTACACTGTGCATGACATCTGTAGCTACAGTCATATCCAGGTGATCTGGAAAGAGTACAGTGAAAGGGTAGGGTATTCTATGACGGTGATGAAGCTTGAAGTTTCCGAAGGTTGTTGGTTGCGTGTTCAGATCACTTCGGGTGGTCACCACTGTGGCCGTGTAGGAAAAGGGGAGATCTCCCACCGGGCAAGGTGTTCTGCCCGGGGAGCAGCCACCACTCCTTGCCCGGTGGGAGATTTCCTCAGAGAAACTATACCGAAATACAAGCAGGTGAATAACCGTTCATCCATAAAAATCAATATTTCAGAAAAATCATTGTAACTAAATACTTACTTCTTACTTCGTACCGTAAGCCGATAAAATAATTTCCATTACAATATAATTATTAACAAGAAAATGAATCAAACAATTTCAATCCATTTTCTATATTTAACTTAATTAAACCTTATCTTAATTAATTATCACCACCAATAAAAATAACCACAATTTTACATCGAAAATGGAATTACCGATTGAAAACAATTGCACTTCTGTATTTCAAGTATATTAATTATTTTCGGCTGTAAGACCATTCGCCTGTTTGTTGATTCGTAATTAAAATACTCGTAAACCTTCTAACTTTAAAAATTTAGACGTTATCTAACTTTGACATATTTTGTTTCAAATATTCATTTTTCGGAAACATGAAATTCGTGATAATCATCGTTCGCAACTTTTAACATACGGAATGTAATACTTCTCCCACTAATAAGTTTGTTATGAGGTAACCTTTGACAGCAAGCCCAAACATCGTTCATAAAACATCGCGCATGAATGTTTTTGAACAATATATTGATGTTTGAAAGAACTGATGTATCGTTTCCATCTCTAGTCGCGCATCGAATAAGTGCCCTAACACCCTTAGTGTTTTTACACTGCACGGTGGCATGGACACTGTAGACCGAGTATACTTTGACGCCCTAATTAGGGACCCTTACTCCCTTTCTCTTATTACACTTACCTGAATCAGGGCGTAGGGACCCTGATTCAGGGTAGTGTAATAGGGGTAATAATACTACTACCTCTATGCTACTACCACTACCACTCCATAACTAATACAATAGGGATGTCATTTTCTGTGAATCAGAACATGGAGGTTAGAGAACAGGAGAACGATCGCTATAGAAAATAGTATCACAGAAATATGGACAAAATAAGTGAGTGCTATCTAGCTCAGCGGTTGTTCTATAAAAAAAAAGAAGAAAAAAAACGAAATTTTTTTTTACGTATTCGTTTTTACTTCTCAAGACTTTGTAAAATAATGGGTTTTAAGCATTGAAGTAATATGTACTTACGTACTAGAACAGCTATCTCAAACAAAAAATGTGCGCTACTCTGTATTCGCGCGATAGGTAAATTATATGGAGAACAATATTTAAATTTTGTCATTTATTTTGTATATTATATATGCTTATTTAATATAATATTACATAATATTATATCACAATTACATTTTAATGATATTTTTATTTGAATATTTTAAAAGGTATCTATGTCAAATATAAAAAGATACTAAATGTATGTTTAACAAAACTTATTAACATAACATTTAAATTACAAATATATTTATTTAAATTAGAATAAGAGTTCTTCATAAATGCTGGGCAGGCGAGAGCACAGACTAGATAGAGAAACTGACGTTTCGCGAGCGTTAAAAATGGACGAATTTATTCCACTTTGACTTTGATGTGGAAACCTAAAAATAAAATAAAAGAATAATAAGCAGATTTAAACATGAAAAATTTAGCCTAATTATAATAACTTATATATGTTTCTACAAAAAAATGTGTATAATAATATATTCATCCTATAAGTACCCACAGAAATGTCGCACTCGCATCTGAACATATTAATTTCATAATCAATATTCCATGACACAAGATGGCGTCTTAGGAATAATTTGTTTTATTATTAATCTATAATACTTTTTTATTGATTAAATATCTTATT